CAGGCGTGACTGACTTGTGGGCTTGGAAAACGGATCAAGAGCCAACGCCCTGTGGCAGAATTTCCCAGGTCATCCGCAATAGAGTCGCCAGCAAGTCCCATGCGAAGCACATTAAGAGGTTTGGACTCCACCCCATGTCCAGGTCCTAAGCTGTCAACCAGCCTAGCATGCCGGCGAGTCACCGAGTCACCTGTGAGAAGATCGCCATTCATGTGGAACGTGTCAGTTCATTTGACGCATCAATGTGTTGTTTGTCTTGGACATACTGCTTTGGATACTTGGTAGCGGTACTAACGACACGTCAATGTATCCAATACCTAACAACTATTCAAGCGGGTCAACATACATGAGAATAATGTTCAATTGATGTGCTCCCAACTGGTGTAAGTTTCTTGCAGCCACATTCGTTATCATTCTTTAGTGCCATGGTGCAAAAGGACTTGGCTGCGGAGTATCCGTGCGGATAGTAATCGGATAGTAATGAGCCTGGTGCTCAGGATTGTGGAACAACCGAGTAGTTTCGGATGGCTGCATGTCATCCCAGAGCAAGACAAGTCGTTGAGTTGCACTCACTGTTTGGTTGTTTTAGCTCAGACAAGCACAACACGAAGGACACATCTTGAAGCAGCTATTGTCGTGAAGATGCAGAGAGCTCAACATAACGCCCAGGGCATGTTGAAGGGCATGACTAGTAACTGCCCCAGGAAAGTCACCCCTGTGTTTTCGGGCGTTGACCAAAACATGGTTTTGTTGCTGCCAGCCGTGCTCCACAACATGCTACTGTGGTAGAGACAAGTTGCTGTTTCCGGCTTTTGGTGATGGCTATGTCAGGCAATCAGTGTCGAAGCCTATTCGGTGGCCAAAACTGGTTCCTGAGTTGAATCAGATGGGAAAGGCAAGCGAGCAAGCAAGCTCCAAACCACTGATCTACTGTACACCAAATTTAGGAGGAAGCTGGATTGAACACCCTGATATCGTGCTTGAATTGCCCTTGCGGTTTTTGTTGCTCTCCTGTTTGTCCCGCAGCAACGCTTACTTTCATATTGTTGCATTCGTGATTGTGCCCTCTCATGGGGCGTGTTGCAAAGCTCAACGGTGAAGATGTGATATCAGAAGCTGAATTCGCTGCATGGTGGGAGGAGCACCACCCGCAAGGCGGTGTCTTCATGGATGTGCTTAGACGCGAGCTGGCCAAACGACTGCGGGTGAGAAATTTCAGGCGGCTGGCGTTGGCGTGCGGTGAGCAGAGACTGAAACCAGAGAGCCCGTGGATGGATGCTGAGCTGGTGGTCGTGATGCGGCAATATGCGTCAGTTGTGGATGAAGGTGGCCCAAGGGAGTTGGTGTGGGCAGCAGGCTATGGCGACACGGCACAGGTTGTGACACTCCTAGAAGGGCCATTGGATCCAGACGTCATGGTTTGCGGCAGAAGCGCCTTGCACGCAGCTGTTCAGGAAAGCCACACTGACACTATGTGTACCTTGCTGGAGATTGGTGTGGACATGAACAAAGCCAATGCCTGTGGAAGCCCGCCCCTGCATTTTGCCGCTTCTAAAGGCCATTTGGAATTTGTGCGCTGCTTGCTGGCAGCCGGCGCTGACAAGGACCACGTTGACCAAGATGGAAGGGCAGCCTTAGAAGTGGCAGCACTGGGTTGGCATCAGGAAGTTGTCCGCTGCCTGCTGGAAGCTGGCGTTGACAAAGACAAATCTGACAACCATGGAAGAACTTTGATGCATTGGGCTGCCCAGAGTGGCCGTCAGGACATCGCACGCTGCTTGCTTGAAGCTGGCGCTGACACGGAGAAAGCCGACAAGACTGAGAAGACGCCACTACATTTGGCCGCCCTGTGTGGCCATGTGAAGGTTGTGCGCCGCCTGCTGGAAGCTGGTACTGAAAAGGACAAAGCTGACAATCATGGAAGGACACCCCTGCATTGCGCGGCTGACAAAGGCCATGAGGAAGTTTCTCGCTGCCTGCTTGAAGCTGGCGCAGACAAGGACAAGGCTGAGAAAGACGGAAGGACACCCTTGCATTTGGCCGCTGAGAACGGTCACCAGGAAGTTGTGCGCTGCCTTCTAGAAGCTGGCGCTGAGACGGACAAGGCTGAGAAAGATGGATGGACTCCCTTACAACTAGCCTCTTTGCGTGGCCATCAGGAAGTCGTGCGTTCCTTGCTGCAAGCTGGCGCTGCTGGCGCGGAGGAAGCTGACAACCATGGCAGAACTGTACTGCATTGGGCTGCAATGAGTGGCCAGCCAGAAATGGTGCGCTGCTTGCTTGAATCTGGCGTTGACAAGGACAAAGCCGACAAGGCTGGAAAAACATCCTGCCATTGGGCCGCCTGTTGTGGCCACGTGACTGTTCTGCGCTGCTTGCTGCAAGGCTGCGCTGACAAGGACAAGGCTGACAATCAGGGAAGGACACCCCTGCATCATGCGGCTGACAAAGGCCATGAGGCAGTTGCGCGCAGCCTTCTGGAAGCCGGCACTGACAAGGACAAGGCTGACAAGCAAGGCAAGACGCCCTTGCAACTCGCTGCATACAAAGGCCATCAGGAAGTTGCGAGCTGCTTGCTTCAAGCTGGTGCTGACAGCAACAAGGCCGATGAGGACGGACGGACGCCCCTGCACTTTGCTGCTGACAAGGACCATCAGGAAGTTGCATGCTTCCTGCTGGAATCTGGCGCTGACAAGGAGCGGGCTGACAAAGATGGAAGGACGCCCATTCATATAACCGCCCTGCGTGGCCGTCAGAAAGTCGCATGTTGCTTGCTGAAAGCTGGCGCTGACAGAGATAAGGCAGACAAGGATGGAAGGACACCCTTGCATTTGGCCGCTGACAAAGGCCATCAGCTGGTTGCGCGCTGCTTGGAGGAAGCTGGTTCTGAGACAAGGTGGGCAATGGAATGATACCTGGGTCCCTCTTTCAGGAGGCATTTTGGCCATGCCGTCTGCCATAAAACCAGCTGTTTCAGTGTCCAGGCGTGCTGGCCGGGCTCGGGCAAGTTGCCATGAGAGGAGATATGCTGGGCAAAACATGGGGCCTTCCTATCAGGTTACCCCCATTGGTGCTTTGAATTGGTGCCAGCGGGTTGCAACCGAATCATTCTCCAGGTTCGAGGTCCAAAGATCAAGGTCAGTGTTCCGGTCCACCAACATGGAACTAAGCACAAGAGATTGGATGTTGTTCAGAACCCCCTCCCATTTCCACCCCTGTTTGCATCCAAAGAGGCTCGAGCAGTGTCGGTAAACAAATTACCACAAAGACCTGGCACCAAACGCCTTCGGGTGCTAGACTGCTCGTACAGGTTGTCGGCATGGAACCAATGAGAGTCAAGACCAAATCTTTGACACATGTGGGTTGGACCACCTTTGTGGATCCCCTAAAAGATTCAGCCAATCATTATCAAACCATAAAAAGGTGCCACCCAAAAGAGCCATGGACCGGCTGCCAGGTGGTTACCCAGCAGCCACGGAAGACCAGAGTAGCCGGATGCCCCATCCTTGCGGGACGCGCTGCGCGTTTCCAGGCGTTGGAGGCTTGCGGCGTTCCTGAAGTTTGCAACAGCTGCCTTGGGACTGCATGTTGGCAAGCATGAACAAGTATTTGTGGCATTGTGATTTGATGCTAGTGGAGTGGTTGCTCGGAATGGACTAAGGAAGTAACCACAAAGCTTGAACAATACAGAGACGCTGAAGACAGCAGTTGTTGTTTGCAAGCTTCATTCAAGGGACTGCTTGTCAGGTTGACTAAATGCTAAATAACTTTCGGTGGAAGATGAGTTCTTGGCATCTGCTGTTCAGGAGGGCCAATGAACGGCCAACCAGCCGCATTTCTCGTCGGACAAGTGTTTCTTGGTACCAGCCCCATGGCAAAAACTGTTTGGGAGCGGGACTTGTCACCGACATTCACCGACATGGATCTGTTTGTCCCCCTAAGCCAACAGACCCTGATTTGAGGGGTTCGAGTTAGGGTGCAAGTCATATCCTTTAGCATAGCCACTGCAGAAACCCAGCGACCATGCAAGTGGACTAAGCACATGTGCCACATTTGCGCATTGTGTTTCCGACTGAACATCGGGGCATGGCAGCTGAGGTGAAGCTGGTTGCACCAGACATCTCCAGGCCTGACCGCTGATCATTTGGTTCGACTTGCCTCAGAAACTTCCCCAGAATTAGCTCCCCTTTTTTTGTTTTTGCTTTTTTGGGGTCCCCTGTGTTTTCCACTAACCAGGCAAAAGATATGTTTTTGCTGGGGTCCTAATTCCAGCCTAATTAGGAAAGACATTGATCATTTTAGCTCACGCAGCCTGCGGGTGACTCGTACCCAGGGGCTTGAACAATGTCACAGGCTTTGGTTGACCGAACATTTCACATTGAAAGTTGGAGCAGTTCCGCAGAGAGTGAGCCCGGGGCCGTAGGGTGCGGTTCACCTTGTCTCCTGGAATCGCTTGCTCCAAGCTTCGCCATGTCAGCAGTTGTTTTATCAGCTGATTTGCTGATACTCGTACTCAGACCAGCAAACAAGTTCAGTTAGTGAGGCATACTTGAGGCCCCAAGAAGCGAGTGCGGACAGCACAAGTGTTGGAAACACCACTATCAGGGTTTGTTGCATTGCTGATCCCGGGCAACGCTTGACACGTACCCCAGCGCATGTTCAAGCTGCTCACACACGCCTTCTGGATCTAGAACCTGAAACCGGTCCTTCGGTTTCCCTTTTTTGGACCATCAAAAGTGGCAGTTTCAGTGGAACCCGCTAGTAAATTGTAGCTTTTGGACTGGACATGTAGTGACCTCTGACACGTTTGGGCCTTGAATGTTTGCTTTGCTCCGCCTGCTGGGGATGCTTTCAGCTTCTCAAGACAGTTGCGAGCAGCAACCTTCAAGTCTTTCCACCGTTTCATGAAGTCTTTCAGCAGGTGTCACAAATTGTGCGCTAGCTGTTGCATGCTTCCGCTATGATTCCTGGTGAAGATCACACAAACTGCACGTGCCATGATCAAGTCACTGCTAGTCCTCAAGAATCGCTGGTGCCACTTGCGCCAAGAAAGCGTCGCAGACTTCGAACCGCAGCAAACACGAGCAGCCCGCGTTTTCGCCATGTCCTTCTTGTTGGGAGTCGCGTGCCTCGTGTGTCGCGCGCTGGCTGGGGACTTCTCCACGGTGCCGGGCACGGGATTCTTCGTGGACGGAGACGGCGTGCAGCGGCTGTTCCGCGGCGTGAACCTGGTGCGTAAGGAGCGCGGGGCTTGGCAGGTGACCCATGAGGAGCTGAACGTGATGCAGAAGCTGGGGCTGAACGTGGTGCGCTACGGAGTGATTTGGTCCAATGTGGAAGAAGCGCCCGGGGTGTACAATGACACGTATCTCAAAGAGGTCAGGGGCCAGATTGAGCTCTTGTATAGCCATGGCATCTACTCTTTCCTCGAGATGCATCAGGATTTGCTGTCACCGTTCTTCTGTGCGGGTCAGGACGGATCGCCATTTTTTTACAATACGCCGCCAAACTCCAGCGAATATCTGAAAGGTGGCAGCAAGGCATATCCCATGCCCTTTGCGAAGCCAGAATATATCGAAGGGCCTTCTGCTGAGGCTTATGGGCCATGGGGTCAGCCCAAGTGTGGGCGGCTAAGTCAGTGGGGGGAGAGCTATGCGACCTATGCCAGCTGTAGCACGTGGCAGGCCTTCTATGACAATGTGGACGGCGTGCAGGATTGGGTGACCGGGTCTCCTGCCATGTTATGTTTTTGGATAGACTCAATATGAAACAGACACATAGTACCCAAAGTCGAACCCTGCCAAATGGAACGAAGCACTAAAACGCGTGGTCCCCTGGTTGCTTAATTTTGACCCATACCCACATATGTTTTTGGAGTATCCCAGGTGGCCAAGAGATGTCGAACCCTGGCAAACCAGGCCACAGACGCCAACTTATTTGGCTTGGGAGTTGCTTGGAGAGCACAGCTGAGGCTTTCTCAAGGCAAAATGATCTAGGCGCTGGCACAGCCCTAGGCGGAATTTCGCCTTTGTCACATTGTAAGCGGTATATAGCTCATGTGACCAGAGCTAAAAAGCGTCTTTGCAGCTACCACTTCTGACACTAACCCTTGCTTGGATGTCCCCCTGTGAGTAAGTGGATGCTAAAAAGTGCTTCTCAGGCTGTCGTATTTCTGCCAAAGCTTGATCATAAGGCACTCGATTTGGAGCTATCCAAATACCCCAGCACAAGGCTCCCCCGGCAGGACAAGTTCGCAGCTGCATGGTCAGCAGTGGCTTCGGCAGTGGCCCAGGACAACCCAGGTGTCATGGGCATCGAGATCCTGAACGAGCCCTGGGTTGGAGATATCTATGCTGATCCGTTGCTGCTGGTTGGAGGCATCTTCAACATTGCCTACAAGTTTTTTTGGTTCTTCAAATATTTAGCAATACTTAAAAACCAGCCATAACTTGTTCGGGGTCGGTCAACTCGTTTTTATCCAGGCAAGGCAGACAGGCAGAATCTAGTCCCGCTCTACGACCGGGTACAAAAGGCGCTGCGAGAAGTTGTGCCGGAAGTTCCCATCATGTACCTCGACTTGGAGGGATCTTTAGCCTTGAACTTTCCCAGTGCTTCCAGGCGTTTCGCCATTTTGGTAGACCCTTCCGGTGCGCTCGTCGCGGTTTTCGCAGTTGCAGCGGCCAGGAGCACTAGAGATTCTGAAGCTTTCCAACCAAGGGAAACCGTGGCGTAAAACCTGGCAAAAGGCAAAGCTTACCAGTGGCTTGCCTGGAAGCACTGGGTTTTACTAAATGTCATCAAATGTCCAACCGTCCAACCACAGGGCGCAGGGAATGAAGGGCGCCTCCCAGGTTCCATCACATTTCCTCAGACAGAGCCCTTTTGCCAACTCTTGGGTTTGACAGGTTCGAGCCCATCACTGGGGGCTCTATCATGGATCGAGAGGTGGGGTTCACGCAAGACACGGCGCCTGGCGGGCCAGCGATGAAGCGGAAGAATGCCTTCACTTTTCATCTCTACTGCCCGCTGCTGGGCCAGCCGTTTTTTTGTTGAGGGGGGTTGGGGGTGGGGGGTAAGAATAGACTATCCATTTTGGTCCACACCAAGGGGGAAACCGAAGGATGCGCAGGTGTGTTGCTCATTTTACTTGACATGCCTTCTTACATTTTCACAAATCGCGGAATGTAGAAAGGATTTAGATTCCGTTGGGTTGAAGTTGAGCAGTGATCAAGGCTTATTCAGTCTGACGTGCCCCTTCCTTCCTCTGGCAAGCTGATCAAGCGAATCGAGCTGGCTGTGTGCAATAAGTTCGATCAACTGAATCTTGATACCCGTGGCCGGCAAAGCCAGATGCTGGGCGCCGGGTCTTTTCTCAGTGAATATGGATCCATCCCCGCCACCTCCGAGGCCACGAATATGATGTCGAGGCTCCTGTCAGTGGCGGACAGCAACATGATGAGCTGGACCTTCTGGGAAATGGGCATGCTGAAGCGAGCGCCTGACTGGATTCAGAACTCTCTTGACAGGAGCTATCCAGCAGTTGTCCCAGGCCGTGTTGTCCGCTTCACAACCGAGATGAACATCACAGTAGCAGGCAGGGTGCATGGCTCAAAGACAAAAAAAGCGCAAACATCTGGCAGTCTTTGGGGTGACATGGTTTGTGGAGGAAGTCCTGTGCCACAATCCAAATCTATGTGTTCTAAAACGTGGTGCGGGGGACAACTTGCTGAACAAGCCATGGCTTGATCCGGGGTACTGATTTGGACATGTTGTAGTTGCTACACAAGCCATAGCTTGGTCCGGGTTTTGTTGCAAAGGCCCGAACAAAGCCCTCATTCGGCCATGTTTGCATTGCAGGCACGACTCTTAACTCTTTCCATGTCGAGTTCGTGGCATCCGATTCCAGGGAGGCAAAGATTCAGCTGGCTCGATCGGCTTTCCCCTTGAGCTCTCGCCGGGTGTCTTTCAAGATTGTTCCGGAGTCGGCGACGTTCCGCCTGAACTCCACCTCCAATGCCATCTTTATTGCATCGGCTCCAACAACCACAGTGGTGATGGAGGCGGTGTACCAGCATGAAGAGGTGAACTATTTGAAGCATTTGAACGCCATTCAGATTTGAATGCGGGGATGTGCGCATGTGTGCGCATGTGTGCGAATGACCCATCGCAGCTTGGGCCAGTTTGCTTGAATGTCAGCCCCCGTCACGCAAGGCACTCTCGTGCGCACGTCTCTGCAAGCCAGAGAGCCCTGAGCAAAGTGCGAAAATCAAGTCTGCAGTTAGCCTTGCAACGAGTGCCTCACAAACCGGTTCTGTCTTGTTTTAAGGGTAGCCCTTGTTGGTTTTAGGGGGACACCAAAAGGAAACCAATCCGAAGCCGTTTTGGAGGGTCCCCCAAACAATGACGTACGCCCAGAGGGTTTCCAGGGGCTCCTACCGACGTTTTTTCGATTGTTGCACGCCCCGATGCCCACATTCCCCGGAAGTCCGAGAAAACAAAGAAGAGGTTCGAGTGCCACGTTAAGTTTTGAACTGTTTTCGGCCGCGTCAATGTTATTCTGGGGAGTAAATCTAATGCTAGGGTCCCGCAGTAGTGCCTTTTGCCCTTTTTTTGGGAGGGTTCCCCTACTAAAATTGACTACAGAAAAAGTTGGTACCCTGAGGACTGTGGACGTGACTTGTACAAACTGAGGACAATTTTGTTTAATGCCTTGAGGTCGAGACACGTCAGTGGATAGTGTCCACACAAAGTCTCTTCATTCATTTGGCCAATACTTAAATAATTTTCATCAAAGGTGACCATGGAATCAACCTATTCTGTTTAAATCCATTTGACCCATGCACCCCTTGGGTGTCTGGTAGATTTCACTCATCTTGCACAATAGCGAAGACAGGCTCTGAGCTGAGAGGTAGCTCAGACCTTGCTCTACGGATACCTAGCGAACAAATTCCTACCGGGCACACGCGTGGCTCGTCTTTTTTGTTGATGCTACGTCCCTTGTTGGCTGGAATCCGAAGGAAAACCAAAGGGAAACCCGAAGTCAGTGTCGGGGTCCCACACACCCGAACCCTAATTTCAATGTTTGTGTGCGCTGGCCAAAAACCAACAGCACCATTTTCATTTTTCGAGCTGGCTGACAGTTGCAGGAAACCCATCAAGATCCATCAAGTAACCTGCTGTGCTGAAAGAAATTGCAACAACTGGCAGACTGTGCTCAACGGCCACTGCTTTGTCGCTCGGTCACGGAACCCAATATTGTGAGCTGGCTTCCTATGTGTCCTTTCATGCGGGTCTTTTGGACAAACGAGCTATGAGGCTATGAGGACAGTTTCCAACCTGCCCCATCAATATCCTTCGTACCCACATTGTGACATGAGCCACAATCAAGACGTGGATAGATGAAGGTTAGAAAGGAATAGTCTCAATCTTTTCTGGGTGCGGCCGCCCTTTTAGCGCTTTACGTGGTTTTGGGGACACCATGTTAATGCCAGGCTTTGACTATGACTCACACGAATGCAACCAATCCTTGTTCCGTGAGACAGAACCGGGGACATGGCCGAGCCAGAACAGACCAATCCAGAGCAAATATTGTGGTTCCCCTGAACCAGCCCTCCAACCCTCCGAACCAGCCCTTAAAACTTCCCCAGAATTAGTTCCCCTTCTCTTCCTTTTTTTGGGGCTTTTTTGGGGGTCCCGTTTGTTTTCCGCGAACCAGGCAAACAGAATCTGTGGTTTTTTTGCTGAGGTCCTAGTTCCAGCCCAGAAAATTCACATGAACCCCTTTCGGCCCCTGCCGAGCTTCCGAGCCGCGAGGTATATCGTGAAGGAGGCGGAAGAGGCGACCTTCCGCCGGGAGAAGCAGGATGTGCCGATCATCGAGGCCACCAAGGATGTGTGCGCCAACCGATTTGTAAATATATATATATATATATATAAACGCCTCGAATCCGTGGAATCCAAGAAAAGGATTGTTGTATCTCAGTTCCTTTGTTGGGGAATTTGAGGGGGGCCGTTTTTGGGTGTTGCCGTATCTTTCAAGGGAACTAAAGGTAGATACTCCATGTCAGCTAGTGCCTTTTTTGGATTCGGTGCCATTGTTGAGTGTTTTTAAATGGATACCCAAACAAAGCTTCCGCTGCATAAGCCTTGTTTTTGCTTTGCCTTTTCTTGGGCAACAGTACTACCAGCACTACTTGACCATTTGGTTGCAATCCCACAGCAAGTTGAAGTTTTTGCAGCCGGGTCAACAGCAATCAAGTGTTGTGTTCCCAGGCAATAGCCGCCAAGATTGTGGGACATACGGCGTCACGGGCCACGGGTTCCAATTGTATGTCACGTCATGTGCTCGTTTTGAGTTATTCGAGACATCCCCGTGCTGCAATGATTCTTGGCTTCCGCTGACCGCGAAATGCATCATTATCTGAATCGCGTCACTTGGCATTTGTGTGTCTACGCCTTGCGGGTGGATGGCCCCGATTCTGCACAGGGGGTTCTTGCAGGCCTACAGGTGTTAGGTGTTGTCAGCTTCTTGGACGTGACTCTACTTGTACCGGCCAGGCTTTGCTCAAATGATAGTTTTTGGTTCTGGTGTCCTTGCGCCAGCCAGCGATGTTTTGTTTTGCCAGGATCTCGTGTGGCGTGCGGGCGCCACTGGCCTCGAATTGGCGGCCAAATTAAGGTTCGTTTGGCTTATCCCAAAAGGCTGACGTCTTTGTGAGTCCCTCGCATCCAAACGTCCAACGACTGTCCTTGGACTTGGCACGTGAAGCCGCACGTTCTTTCATGTTCTTTCCCAAACACCCCCAGAACCCCCCGTCCCCAGTTTATTAATTATCCTGATTCCCTGCGCCAATTGTTGCCTCACTCATCCGGTACGTGGTATCAAGTATTATTGTGTATTTGATTGTACTTATGTTTGATCCATGTGTATGCGTCGTATGCATACATATCGCACATTATACGTACATAAATGTACACACACACACGTACATCTGCACAGCTTTCCATCTGCAAGATCATTTGACCGACCGAAGGTACGATGTGCGGTTCGAGGGCAATGACCGGACGGCGCTGGACAAGTGGCTGCTTTTGGAGGCCGAAATATATTCACACAAAGGTGTGTGTGTGTGTTCCCCGTGTTGTTTGTCTTCTTGTTGTTGTGGTTGTTGTTGTTGTTGTGGTGGTGGTGGTGGTTGTTGTTGTTGTCGTCGTCGTCGTCGTGGTTGTTGTTGCTGTTGTTGTTGCTGTTGCTGTTGCTGTTGCTGTTGCTGTTGCTGCTGCTGTTGCTGCTGCTGTTGCTGTTGCTGTTGCTGTTGCTGATGTTGTTGCGGTTGTTGCTGTTGTTGCTGTTGTTGCTGTTGTTGCTGTTGTTGCTGTTGTTGCTGTTGTTGCTGTTGTTGCGTTGTTGCCGTTGTTGCTGTTGTTGCTGTTGTTGCTGTTGTTGCTGTTGTTGCTGTTGTTGCTGTTGTTGTTGTTGTTGTTGTTGTTGTTGTTGTTGTTGTTGCTGTTGCTGTTGCTGTTGCTGTTGCTGTTGCTGTTGCTGCTGCTGCTGTTGCTGTTGCTGTTGCTGTTGCTGTTGCTGTTGCTGCTGCTGCTGCTGTTGCTGTTGCTGTTGCTGTTGCTGATGTTGTTGCTGTTGTTGCTGTTGTTGCTGTTGTTTCTGTTGTTGCTGTTGTTGCTGTTGTTGCTGTTGTTGCTGTTGTTGCTGTTGTTGCTGTTGTTGCTGTTGTTGCTGTTGTTGTTGTTGTTGTTGTTGTTGTTGTTGTTGTTGTTGTTGTTGTTGTTGTTGTTGTTGTTGTTGTTGTTGTTGTTGTTGTTGCTGTTGTTGCTGTTGTTGTTGTTGTTGTTGTTGTTGTTGTTGTTGTTGTTGTTGTTGTTGTTGTTGTTGTTGTTGTTGTTGTTGTTGTTGTTGTTGATGTTGCTGTTGCTGTTGCTGTTGATGTTGCTGTTGCTGTTGCTGTTGCTGTTGTCGCTGTTGTCGCTGTTGTCGCTGTTGTCGCTGTTGTCGCTGTTGTCGCTGTTGTCGCTGTTGTCGCTGTTGTCGCTGTTGTGGTTGTGGTTGTGGTTGTTGTTGTTGTTGTTGTTGTTGTTGTTGTTGTTGTTGTTGTTGTTGTTGTTGTTGCTGTTGCTGTTGCTGTTGCTGTTGCTGTTGCTGTTGCTGTTGCTGTTGCTGTTGCTGTGGCTGTTGCTGTTGCTGCTGCTGCTGCTGCTGCTGCTGCTGCTGCTGCTGCTGCTGCTTCTGCCTTTGTTGTTTTTGGTGGTGGTGGTGGTGCTTGTTGTTGTTGCCGTCGTCGTCGTCGTTGTTGTTGGTGGTGCTGGTGGTGTGTCTTACTTGCTTGACTATTTGTTTTATTTCCTTGCTTGCTTACTTGGCTTGGCTTGGCTTGGCTTGGCTTGGCTTGGCTTGGCTTGACTTGCTTGCTTGCTTGCTTGTCTAAGAACTTGCCACTGGCTAAAGGCAACATGGTTTTCTTGAAGATGTCAGATAAGCCTTCACTGTTTGAACCCCTGGCTCCTTGGTTCTTGTAGAGGGTAAATGGGGAACACATAAAAGCACCAAACCACCAAATCAAATCACTAATTGGGTGTAAGGTGTGAAGATGGGTCACAAATTCAGTTTTATTTCTGTCAGGGCTGATTTCAGGCACCAAGCTCAAGCCCGCCGGGCCTTCACCCCCGCCTTTTCAGCGAGGTCGGTGGATTCCCCGATGTCTACAAGAACTTGGCCCGGGGCCCCACGCGCAAACTGAACAAAGCCTCCTGCCGGCCCTTCGCTTGAGCTAGTCATCAGGCCTTATTGGTGTCTTTCTTCCTGTTTTCGCGGGCCCGGCACTGAAGCAATAGCCCCAAGGGTTAGTGTTGCCCGTGGGAAATGGGCGAACGGGAAATGACTGGCCAGCAAGGTTCTCCAACTGCTGTCCAGTTGCACTTAGTTCCGTTCCGTTGCGGGTGTTGCGGGTTTCTGACAGTCCTGCAAAAAGGCACCGGTCGAATGCAATGAACTAAATACAGGACAGCCGTCAGGTTTGACTGGCCGAAAAAGCTGCTTGGCCTTGTAAGGGTTTTTGCTTGAAGCGTCGTGCGCTTCGCCCATCTGAAGCTGGCGTAGGATACACATTGAACCATTGCAAGAGCGGTGCAGCCCAGACAGGACACGACCCACCTTGCAATCTTCCATGCCGTCTGTGGCCAAAGACGTGTTTGGCAGCTGAAGTGGACTATTTATGTGGGAAGCCCAACCATTGTCCCTCATATTTGGGCA